TATATCTTTCTTTTCTTTCTTTGCTTTAACAGTACGAGACCGTACATTACACAGCGTCATAGCAGAAAGGAAAAAACATTGTACTTCTCTTTTTGATAAAAAAGACACATGTTTGAAAATAGAAGAAGGAAGGCATCGATAAGAAGTCAATGTTCAGGGCAGCATCCTGAATTTCGTGGCTACACGCTTCTTTTAGGCTTTGGTCGTTTCCTCAGAGAAAAGAGCAAATTCTTGCAGGATCCCGTTGATATCTTTCAAGGATCCAGTGCTGAAACACCAAAGATTTTCTCTAAGAAATGGTGATGTGTAAAGGTTAGGCTGTTTTCTTCAATTGCATGAAGTCAGAATGATATTTTTATCGCAATGGGTAGTTCTGATGCCACAAAGAACAGTTTGATTTACCGTACCTTAATGATTTCTCAGGACTATCGATTCTGAGATATAGATTGATATGGATCTCCATTATTTCAAATGCTATAACCGTGAAAATTGCAGGATAGAATCGAGCCTAGTGCAGCATTCTATGATCCAATTTTGGAGGCAAACGATGAAGCCTAGTCTGAGTTTTGGGTCACACATCGGACAGGATTCGATTTCTAAGATCGGTTGGCCGATAAAGATTCACTCATAACTTCTGGAAGGAACGTCCGTTTACAATGAAAATTTTACCGAGAAGAGAGGAAGAGTCGGGCTTTCAACGGTGGATCGAACGGCTCAAAATAGTTTTGCATAATTTTTTGTCGCGAATTTCCAGCAAAATTTTGCTATACATCCTCCATAAGGCTAATCAAGATCAATAAGAACGTTGCACTAGTCTCTGTGATAAAAGCAGGAAAGTAAATAAGTTAGGTCGGCAGCCCCTAAAATACCTGTAGACCGGCAAATACCGATAGATCGGTAAAGAACCGGTAGACTTACCGATGTATATAAGATAATAGGTTCCACGTAGGAATAGAAATTGCTAGCCGATAAAAAGCTTGCTGACGGGCGCAAATTTTATTACAGCTGTCATTGGCAGCGCGGTAGAGGATATGCAACTACGGAAAACAGAAAGTGATTCCATCTAGTGCTTTCCACTACGCTCTTTATTTCAGAATCTTTATTTCAATCTTTATTTCAAAGAAAAACAGCTGCAGGTGAAACTTTTTCGACGTTGTCTGTCAGCATACAAGACATACGAACAGGTCTTACGACTCTTTTTTACAAAAAACTCATTTCTATGTGGACAATTGCCAGACGATATACTCTGTCTTGTAAGAGTAGTCACATCATGTTTCAACGATCAGATCAAATAATAACGAAGTTTATTCTTTCGAGAATTTTTGAAATGAATTGTATTAAAATTATCGCAGATGAAGTACTTTTTAGATCATAATAATTCCCGTATGTGTAAGAGTAATAGACGATCGTTTCATTTTAATATAGAGAAATTCGTTTGAGGTGTTAGAATATGAAAAAAAATGTGTAATATAAAATGTACCCACGAAATACTGTAACTTTAAGCTACACATGTATGCACACAGATTCTCTGCACCTACTGAGAGTTGCTTTTTTTCAAGCTTTTCTATTTTTCATCACTTTCTACTATTCCTATTTTCTATGCCCCGAACACCTCAATCCTCTCTGAAATATATGTCGTTCAACTCACAGCGGACAATTTAGACTAGGCACGTGAACATGTGTCATAAAAGTGATACGAAAGCCTCTAAACACTATTTTTATAGGTTTTCGTATGCGCTCTTTCCAATGGTGTGATTTACAAAGTTCAGAAACACTTTAGTCGGATTTTCCAAAGACCGGCTCCTTGGAAAATTCTGATAAAAACATCTTTGAACTTGTAAGTCACACCATTGGGAGGAGCGCATACGAAAACCTATAAAAATAGTGTTTAGAAGCTTTCGTATCACTTTTATGGCACATGCTCAGTCTAAATTGCTCACTGTGAGTTGAACAATATATATTTCAGAGAGGATTGAGGTGTTCGAGGCTGGAAAACTAAGTTTCAGAAATATTTCCTCATTTTCAGCAATGTGCGGAAGTAAGAAATGAAAAACTTGATCGATGTTTTGATTTCACAATCAGTAATAGAAAAGCAATCATTTCTGATCAAAACAAAACAGATCCGATCAAAAACGCGTTTGTTTTGTTGAAGCTACGGGACTTTTACTAAAAGCACCACTACACACAGAATTTAATCATTATGATGTACTCGATAGAAACTTCGATAGTTCTACAGCCATGAAATGAAAAAATTCTCAGAGGAGGATTTGTACTAATATCGCTTGCTCAGGAAAAAAACGTCAATTAACCGCGGTTAGCCGAGCATTTTGTGCCGGTTCGCGGTTAATTGCGGTTAACCGGACGGGAAAGCGCACACTCAACTGTACGGTTAATCCAGGTTAATTAGTGGTTTTTTGCTGGTTCAATAAACATGGGATATGACCAGTAATGAACAACTTAGACACGTTACTTTGTAGTATTTTCAGTTTATGTAAAGAGTAAGTCTTTCAAGTTGTCCTCTGTAATCTCACAATAGAATAGAGTCCAACTTTAAACCTAGATTAAAGTACATCGACGCAGAAATGCTTCTTTTCTAGCTAAAGAAACACTGTAATAAAGTTGATAACAAACACATTTCAAGTTTCTTACGACTAATAAGATAATGCCCTTTAGGTTTATCAAGCTATATTCTAATGTATTGATTATTATTTGTTATAGCAGTAGAATTTATCATTATCACACAGTCATTTTTCTACTTTTGTTCCCGAAGTTGAACAAATATTGTATTAAGGTCATGTTTTAGTTTAAACTGAATATTTGTTAGTTTTTCTTTTATATTAGAAGGAACATTTTAAAATGAAATTGGCATTTTCGTTACTATTTGTAGTTTTAATTAGTGTTCTTGGTTTACAGGCACGGAATTTACCTGAAGGAACGACCAATACCACAGTTCATGCTGGTAAGACTCACTTCGCTGCTGAGTTCTTCTTTCGAAAACGTACCACGTTTATATCGACGTTATCCCAACAGTTCGAGAGTAATAAGACTAGCACAACTCAAGTTCCTGATGACGAATATCACTAAAAGATTTTAAAACAACGGCATCGTGGCCTTCTAGACCTGTGACCATGCCATTTCCCAGCAGAATAAACCTTTTCTGGGCATTTTCAGCATCTTTTATTGTAACACTTTCGTGAGAAAACGATGATAATTCTCATCTCTATATCGTCCATATTAAAATTTAAGTATTTTTTATCCTTGTACATACTAATAAGCCAGTGTCATGCATTTTTACGTCAATGTCCAACGCTATCATTTCATATGCATTGTCGTCGTATGGTTTGTTTACCTCAAATGATTGAAAAACTAATGATGATTCAACATGTCGCACGAGTGAAAAGTGCTGTCACAAAATGTGTTCCTGCACAATAAAATGTTTGGAAGCTGTTAACGTTTAATTATAGTCATAAATTTTATGTAAGATTTTATGATTTCTCAGAATAGCTTCTAAGAGAAGTGTTTTGAACTGCACGACCGCTAAAATAAAGAATGAAAATGCTCGATTTCTAAGCGATTAATTATCTTTAATGTGCGAATTACTTCTTTGTGGTAAAAGAAGAACATCTGTCTTCCAAAGACGTTTCTTTCCTCAGAGCTAAAGAAAATCGAAGGAAACACCATTGTTTTTCGTTGTGTTTCTAAACTTTTTTCTTGCAAACGCTTACTTTCCTGTTGTTTATAAAGCATAAAAATTTGTCGCGTTTTGACAAGACTGTTGCCATAGAAAATTTGACAATGGATATTACATAAAGAGATCAGTGTGGCATCAGCCAAAAATGCCTATAAAACGTGCGTTTCGTGAATAAAAAAGTCAAGAAAATTATGCACTTGGGAAAACACCTTCAATACACGGTGGGCATACAGCCAGACATTAGGCAGAAAATCGAAGATTTTCCTTTTTCAGATAGAAACAGAGCAAAATGTAGCTCTTTCAAAGGGTTGTCGAACGGTATATAAATGTCTATTGTGAAAATGGATCCTTCGACCAGAAAATAGTATACAAAAAACATGAACAAATACGACATCTATACACAAAAATACGATTTTTCACTTTCACAGCTATGTTATGCAATTTTAAAGCACATATTCGGAATCAGCATGTCTTCAGCTATCTTTTCATAATAAAATGTTGCTACTTTAACACAAACTTCACCAAGTAAGAGCTCAAGATTCTTGATCATCTCATCACGGAATGACACTATCTCAGTAATCCATTTAAAACAGTTATCATTTGATATTTAACATCTGATGGTGGACGAGATATTAATGGATTGAAATTAATAAAAAATTTAACTCGATTAGATTTTCTTTTAATTATTGACTGTAAAAATAATTATAATATTAACGATAGGTATCATTTCTTATCGACATTTCAACAAATTGATCACAATTGGAATTAGGGATGCAACAGTACCGGTAAACTGTCCTTAACGGTTCACCAGTTCACGGTACCGGTTCCTTAACGGTCCACCGGTTCCAAAAAATTGATCTGTCTTCGCTGGGCTCTCCATAACACTCAAAAGAGCTTGCCTTTGCTAATTTCGATACATAATGAAATTTATTTCTACTCATTGTCACTAAGTACCGATTTCATACCTTTTATTATGGCTTCATCTTGTTTTATGTATTGAGATAGTAAATTTGACTGATAATTAGCCCACATTTCTGATCTTTCGTTTAATGGATTAAACGTTATTTCAATCTGTCTCCATAAATGCGATAGAGTCCCGCAGTTTAATCCGCTTCAGATCCCGCGAGTTTGAGTTCGGAATCCCAGAAACTTTACGAGTTTGAGTTCATCCGAATGGGATCGGTTTTCTTCCAGATCCAGATTCTTCCAGTTTGATATAGAGGAAGATAAGAAACAATTCTAAATACATGAAAGAATATAAAACATAAGCGAAGCAGACAACTGTTTTGCATTAGTTATATAGCCGAACAATTGAATTTTCCTATTCTATCTCGACTAGTAGAGATTTAGTAATGTGCAAATGAAAGAAGGCACTACTTAACTGGAAAAAGTTTTTCGGGTGCGGACGGGCTTGGGGCGGGTTTAGTTTTGAAAAATCGGGATCCCGAAAAACTTCTTGTTGATTCGCATATCTCACGTTCATTCAGCTCATAATTATTTTTGATTTTTTCAAAAGTTTTTTTTAGTTTATTAATTTCCTTTCAAATATTTTTATTTTCGTTCAACAGGATATTTGTTTTTATATATTTTCCAACATCCAACGCTAACCATCTATTACGGGTGTAACTGTTCTGCTGTTGAGCATGTTAATTATACTTATTAGTACTATTCCATACCTCGTAATTATAAAGAGTTCTATTTTTACGCAAAAAGAGAAAGCTCTAGTGTATATTCCAGTTAATTCTTATTAGACAGAAGAAAAGGCAATATCAAGGCAAAAGGAAAAATCGCTAAGGATCTTATAGTTTATAGAAATTCGATCGATTTTCTAGAAAGTGAAAATTCGCCCAGGAATTTCTAGACCAAATACTTATTTATCTTTTTGTTTTGCAATCCGTGTAGGTATAAGTGCGTCACGTAATGACACTCATATTACATTTAAATTAGCTTTGACAGTTTCTACTTTAGATCATAATTCTACATATGCCAATAAGAATTTTGAGTTAGGCAGAGACAGTGGTGCCCCAAAGTTTCAGTAGAAAGGCCGCAAAATCCGAGACGTTCACCAGAAATTTCTCAAAAGCATGAGAGGACAGGGTGAACCCCAGCACAACCTGGTGGCGGCGCTAATCGGTGCAGACCCGCCAGTTCCAGTTCATATAAAATCAAAAAGGAATTTTTACTTTCTTAAGAATTATTCATGGAAATTCAACGACGATTTTCTAGATTGTTGGAAATTCGATTGTCTATAAACTGGAAAATCCTCGAGCAATTCCTAAAGGTGCTCTATGGAATTCGCCGATCATTTTATCGAGGTTAGGAAGTTAAAAATCCTGCTGTATGTGCGATGGGTCTAAAGGTTTAGCGTCTGGTCAACAACAAGAATTTCCAGCAGCAGTAAGACTGACCAGCATAGACGCTAAACCTTTAGACCCATCGCACATAATTCACCTATATCTCTTTCGGTGATTTTCAAGGAACAGAAGGGAATTTTTTCCTTTTCGATTTTTTTTATCGATATTTTGCTTTTCGACATTTTCCACCAAGACCTTAGGAGGAAGGCGTTTATAAAAATCAAATCCTGATATGAAGTAAAAGACATGAAGGAAGAAAACCACCAAGAACAGTTCAAAGCTGTCTCCAATCCCTTATATCGGGCAACGATGCGGGCATTAGATGAAAAACATATACGAAAAATTTAGCCGAAAAAATGCAAGAGCTTGAGAAATAGTTCTCCTTTTACGAAATTTAACAAAGTTAAAAGAGAAAACGAGGCATATTCTTAATTCAGACTCTTTCAACTGTCGATAAGTGAACACATTTGTCAGCTTAGACTTATATACGTGGAGAAGAACAATTAATTTTCAAGCTAACTAATTTTTCCAAGAGGTATGATAGGTGTAGTGAGTTCTAATTATTTCCAAGTTGCACCCACAATCAAACTTTGTAAATATGTTCGACTGACTCTATTGTACTTGCACCGATAGCACAATTGTTACTAGACCATACAGCACATTTATTTCAGACCCTTGGGTTTTCCTGCAAAATCAACCTTCATAAGCATTTATAAGAAAACCTAAACTGCATTTAGAATCAGCGCACGAAACTGCATCTGAAGATGTACAACTCGACTATATCCTGCGACCTTTTTTCCTGCGAAAGGCGAAAAACCATGTGTTCTTCTTCTATACATGTAAGGCGGTAAAAGATCTCTTTTTCAAAAAACAAATTCCTCACCACCGTCTGTGTCTTCCATTAACCCATTTAAAGCACTAATAATGCACCTTACACACCTTATACTTTTTCAAGCCTTCTGCAATTGCTTTTGCCCCTTCAGCTGATATATTGTTGCTGTTAATACCAAGAACTGATAATGTTTGGTTTGTTTTCAAGGCTTCTGCAATTGCTTTTGCCCCTTCAGCTGATATATTGTTGTTCTCCATATAAAGACTTGTTAATGTTTGGTTTGTTTTCAAGCCTTCTGCAATTGCTTTTGCCCCTTCAGCTGATATATTGTTGCTCTCAATATCAAGAACTGATAATGTTTGGTTTGTTTTCAAGGCTTCTGCAATTGCTTTTGCCCCTTCAGCTGATATATTGTTGTTCTCAATATCAAGAACTGTTAATGTTTGGTTTGTTTTCAAGGCTTCTGCAATTGCTTTTCCCCCTTCAGCTGATATATTGTTGTTCTCCATATAAAGACTTGTTAATGTTTGATTTGTTTTCAAGGCTTCTGCAATTGCTTTTCCCCCTTCAGCTGATATATTGTTGTTCTCCATATAAAGACTTGTTAATGTTTGATTTGTTTTCAAGGCTTCTGCAATTGCTTTTGCCCCTTCAGCTGATATATTGTTGCTCTCAATATCAAGAACTGTTAATGTTTGATTTGTTTTCAAGGCTTCTGCAATTGCTTTTGCCCCTTCAGCTGATATGTTGTTGTTCTCCATATAAAGACTTGTTAATGTTTGGTTTGTTTTCAAGGCTTCTGCAATTGCTTTTGCACCTTCAGCTGATATATTGTTGGTGGCAATATCAAGAGTTCTTCTGTCCTTAGACCTTA